TAAGTTGGGTACAGATGTCTAGGTAATTATTCAATTCTGTCGACAGTGGGATTTGAACCCTAGACCTCTTGCATGGCGGTCCGACAACCTATCCACTACACTAGATCGCCAGACCTTGGTATACCCATCTTAGTTTCAAAATTTCACTATATTCTAAGAAGTTAGCCTCACTCATACTCTTGTACTCTTTTTTCTAATAATTTTAGTTATCTCGTATTTCAAAAGCAATCTCAAATCTCCATTATTTTAACTTTTCTCGAGACATTTGAAATTTTTGTTGTAAATAGAAGATAAGCATATCTACATCAGATTCGCTTTTAATGAGAAACTCTGAAGATAAAGAAATTAAAGAATCAGATATTTCTTTCTTATATGCATTGGCTTCAAAAGTAGTAATATCAATATGGCATATATCTTAAGAAGAATTTTTTCTATATTTTGTATCATATTGAGCTAGCATTTTTAAGAATAAATCTTTTTCATCAATCTCATTATTAGATAAGTCAGAAACTTCATGCTTTGTATATTCTGAAGTAATATTATTAGTAATAGGCATAGAATCGAAAAAATCCTGAGTTTCATCAATCAATTCTGGTTTATATAATGGAAGAATTGGACCTATAGAGAAATATTTAGAATTATTCACCTTTATAGCTATTATTTCTTCTTGAGTTACAAAACCATCTCCATCATATGGTTTGTGATAAATTCAATAAGTTTTCTTCTATACCCTATTAGTTCTTGAACCTACATGAGTTGTACTACTTCTGATAGTATAACTACACTAATTACTCAATATTGCATTAATAAATTTTATTGTAGCATTAAGATCTGGTATTCTTTTAGCTCTGGTTTTAAAGCCAAAGTGTAATAATGTATCTTCTCAAATTTTAATAATTTTTTCCTGTGATTGCTCAAAAGTCTTAGCTATATCATCACTAGAAAGAATATTTATATCATTTATATCTTTAAAGCCTATTGATTAGACAAGATTATACACTACTTTTTACTGCTTTGCTGAATAAAATTTATGCAAATTAACTGAAGATAGATCCACAGATTCACGTGAATCTTCCTATTGTATTTCTTCTTTAATTTTTAGATTTTCTATAGAATTTATTACATTAGAATCTTATCTTCTGAAATATGCTAGCCTTCTAAAATACTGTAAAAGTTCAGAATTATTATATCTTTTTACGAAATTTATGTCACAAAGCTTAACCCAATTATCATTATTCATACTCTAGTCTCGAATATCATCTTTGCCACTAATATCATCTGAAGCATATATTCTCTATAAATAATAATGTTGTAAAGTCATGTTATTAGCAAAAGAGTGTATAGGATTTTGTTTAAGAATTTTAGCTTTATTGAGACTAATATTTGGAGCATTAGCTATTAATTCTGCGTATGTACTTTTAATTTTTTCTTAGTATTTTTAATTGTATGAGAAATTTTATTCTTGTTGATTTTTTCAGTATTTTCTACTAAAATTAATTCAAGTATTGCTCCAGTACTAGCAATAAGACTATAAAGAATTTCAGAAAAGTATTTAGCTAATAAGCATCTCTAATATTTAACTTTGATATAGGTTTCTACTACTAGAGATAAATTAAGTGCATAATAGTCAGCAATTTTATCCCATGCATACTAGCCTTTTATTATTGTTAGTAAGTCTTCAGGTCTTAATACTGAAAGTTCAGCTCGAATGAGTTTCTAACATGGTTCTTTGAAAATATCAAATTTTTTGCTATAATAAAAGGAAACTATACATAATAAGCAGTTACAGATTCTGAACAACATCTGAGCAAATACTTCAATATAAACAGAAGTAGCAATATTAGTAATTCCTATAACTGCATCAAAATAACCAGATATTTCAAAAGAGATACTAGCTTCTACAGTACTTGTATAAATTACACAGTCAAGAGCACTCCAGGTGGTATCAATATTAGCAAAATTATCTTGGCTTTGTTTCCTATCTATTTAACCAAAATAAACTCGTGATAAAATGAATAAACTATTAGGTTTTCACAACTTAGATATTTAATTAGCTAAGGCTCGAGCTTTTTTACAGCTAGTCATAACAAATACAATATGCTTACCTTCTTGAAGTATTTTAAAACCTCTGCGTATACCTTCTGTAGGATATAGAGATTATATACTATACGTTTTAACTATTATACTATATGGTTAATACTATAATGATTGTTTAATTTGTACATTCGTACAATACTATATAAAATTAATTAAGTAGCTTTTATAACTAGCTAGATCGAAATTTGTAATGTTTAAATAACCTGATAATTCTTATACTATAAAACAAAATTATTTTCATAAAATTTTTATATTCGAAATATTTATAAAATAAATTTATTATAGTGATAGTAGTATTTATTCTAAAATAATATATACTATATTACTATTTTTTTTAGAGAACGATACTTAGTAATATATTTACTGCTACAAATAGCATTTATTTAAAGTTGTAACTAAGCAAAAAATATTATGAAAAGCTAATTTTATATTAGCTGATATACATTATATTTTAATTATTAATGCTACATAACAGTATATAATTTACTACCTACTGTTTTAAACTATTAAGCTTTTCATATAATGCAATTTCTTCTTTGAGAATTGCTAAATTTTTTTGTTACAATTCAAGTTTTTTATTTTCTCATTCCAAATAATCTAATTGTTCTTGTGCTGTAGGAGTAGCAATTGAAGATGATGTAGAGGTAGCAATTAAAGATAATGCTAAAAGTAGAGTTAAATCATTACTTGTCTTATCAGAAAATTTTTTACTTTTTTGTTTTTTTTGTGATTTTGATTTTGAGTTATATTCTTTATTTTTATTCTTTCGTTTTTCTAAAAATTTATAAATATAAGTTAATTTTATATTAAATTATTAAATTAATAAATTAAACTTATGATTTTTTTTGGAATTATTTGTTAAATGAGCTAATTCAGATTTATTTCTATATGATTCATGTATATTATATTGTTCATATGTTTTTGCTGCATCCTATTGACATTGATCAAAATTACTTTCACTATATAATTATGAATGTTAATACTTTATCATTAAAATTTTAAATATATAATTTAAAAATATATACTGATAAATAGCTGCTAATAAAGATAAAGATTGACCATCTTGATTTATATTAGCATGTGCTGATTCATTAGCATTAGTATTATTTGGAGTTTG